AATCCAATTTCCTTTTCAGGTTCCTCAAGAAATACCCTTCCACGGTGTGGGCAGCCGGGAAGTGATATCAGCCCTCATACCCGTAACAGCTACGTGACCAAGTTGGTCACATTCAAATCCTTCCTACACCTCCTAATACCTCTCTTATCTCCATGACTAACCCTCCTCACGTCTCTTTATCATCTCGCACCGCTAGGGCAAACGATTCGAGTACGCGGCAACGCTATTATTGGTCTCCTGAAACCACGCTCTAAACTACACGTAGGAGCTTTTAACGTACGAACACTTTGCCAAATAGGACAGCAGGCTTCCTTAGCTAGGACTTTAGAATCTCGCACCATCGATGTGTGCTGCGTCTCCGAAACGCGCATACAGGATCCGAGTAGCGTCATTCACTTGACCTCACCATGCCAAAATAAAGAACCGACTCGATTTACGCTTCGTGTATCTGGGAGCCCTGATTCTGCTTCCCGCGGCCTTGCCGGCGTAGGTATAGCATTGAGTCCTAGGGCAGAACTAGCTCTCTTAGAGTGGATCCCAGTAGACAGTCGTTTGTGCGCTGTCCGACTGAACGGAACAGTAAGAATCCGGAAAGATAGGGACACTCGTCGTTGCCTCTTCGTCGTCTCTGCCTATTCTCCCACTGACTGCAGCTCAGATGATGTAAAAGATGAGTTTTACAGAAAGCTTTCGGACCTTCTCCGAAAAGCTAAGCGCTCGGATGTAGTAATTGTGGCCGGTGACTTTAATGCTCAAGTAGGTAAACTAAGCGATAGGGAGAGACACCTGGGTGGATCTTACGGTGTCGTGGCTCAAAGAACAGATAATGGCGACCGTCTGTTGCAGCTATGCTCAGATAACCGCCTGTTCCTTGCAAATACTAACTTTAAACATAAGGAAAAACATCTTTTAACATGGAGACCCCCTAATTCGTCCCAACGTTGGACCCAAATAGATCACATCGCTATCAGCCACCGATGGAGGGGCTCGATAGAAGACTGTCGCTCATTCTGGGGCACATGCCTAGATTCAGATCATGCTCTAGTGCGAGCGCGTATTTGCTTGCGTCTTACTGGACGTAGGAAAGACACTACAAGAAAACCTCTTAGGGGCCTACTTAATGATAGTCAAGCTAAGAGTATATTTCAGGAACAACTAGGAAAACAGTTAGGCAGCCATGTATGTGATGCCCACCCCGATGCAGCATGGAATGATATCCGAAAAGCTGTGGAAACAGCAGTGATATCTGCTAGTAAGGTAAACCAGAAGGTTAGGGAGCAACACTGGATCTCAGCAGCATCTATCTCACTGATAGATGCTCGGAAACTCATTCCACCTGGCTCTGAACATAATGAAGAGCGGAGTCAGCTTAAGCGCAAGCTGACCAGAAGCCTACGCAACGATCGCGAACAGTGGTGGGTAGCGAAAGCAAGACAGATGGAAAAGGCAGCGGCAATAGGTAATAGCAGACAATTGTTCAGACTCGTTAAGGAAACCGGAATTAGGAACCCGACCGTTAGCGAAACAATCTCAGAGAAAGATGGACATATTATTCATTCTCAATCCAGGAGATTGGATCGATGGGCAGAACACTTTAGGGATCAGTTCAACTGGCCTTCAGCCACACTTCGGTTTCCCACGATCTCTAGTCAATCTGAATGGCAAGTTAATGTAGGTCCTCCGACTTTTTACGAAGTTGAAAAAGCCATAGGAAATCTGAAACGAGGGAAAGCAGCAGGCCCTGACAGGTTTACTCCTGAGATTTTTAAGGATGGTGGTCCAGTATTAGCAATGAGATTAACCGAGGTCTTAAGTAGAATTTGGGAACTGGACGTAATCCCATCTGACTGGTCTCAATCTCTGATTGTGCCAGTCTATAAGAAAGGACAAAAGTCCTCTTGTGACAATCACAGAGGAATCAGTTTGACTAATATAGTGTCTAAAATATTAGCTTCAATAATACTTCGACGCCTAAATAAAGCTCGTGAAGAGCAGACTAGAGAAAATCAGGCTGGTTTTCGACCTGGACGTGGTTGTATAGATCAGATATTCACACTACGTCAGGTTCTAGAACACAGACACACATTCAGACGCCCCACAATGGTAGTATTTCTCGACCTTAAGGCGGCATTCGACTCTGTTGATCGTGAGGTTCTATGGCAGTGTTTGTCACTGAAAGGAGTACCAAAGAAGTACATTAACCTTATAAAGGCTCTCTACTCGAACACAACTGGTAGAGTGAGAGCTTATGGCGAACTGTCATCAGAATTGATTACCTCAAGTGGTGTTCGTCAGGGCTGTCCACTCTCCCCATTCTTGTTCAACTTTGTCGTGGACATACTTCTAGAGATAACACTTTCCTCATCTAGATTTCCAGGGGTTGAACTTCTACCGGGAGGTTCACTTGTTGACTTAGAATATGCTGATGACATAGTTTTATTTGGTGAAGACGCTGACAAAATGCAGAGTCTTCTGACCACTCTAAGCAACAATGCAAGCATGTTCGGGATGAGATTCTCTCCCTCGAAATGCAAAATGTTGCTTCAGGATTGGGTTACATCGACACCCGAACTAGTGATAGGGAGTGAAGTAGTTGAGTGTGTCGACCGCTTCACTTATCTTGGAAGTCTGATCAGCCCTTGTGGTCTGGTGTGTGACGAAATCTCAGCACGGATACAGAAGGCTCGACTAGCTTTTGCCAACTTGCGTCATTTATGGCGTAGGCGAGATATCCGTCTATCAACCAAAGGACGTGTTTACTGTGCAGCAGTTCGTTCCGTCCTACTTTATGGCAGTGAAACATGGCCGGTAAGAGTAGAGGATATCCGTAGGCTACTAGTATTTGATCATAGGTGTCTTCGAAACATTGCTCGTATATCATGGGACCATCGATTAAGTAACACAGTTGTTAGAAAACGGGTACTAGGTAAGGATGGCAAATCAATTGATGACGTAGTGAAACTTCATCAGTTGAGATGGCTGGGACACGTGTTACGTATGCCCAACGACCGACTGCCTCGACGTGCTATGTTCAGTGGTATAGGAGTAGGTTGGAAGAAAGCTAGGGGCGGCCAAACCAAAACATGGCACAAGTCCATGAAGTCACTGACAAGTGAACTGAGTGAGTCATGTTGGTAGGTGTAGACTACCTGGTTGGGGACCGCGAGATGATAGCAACCGATGGTTAGAGACCCTGAATGACATGGCTCAAAATCGTTTGCAATGGCGCAGGTGCATCCACTCTCTGTGTTCTCTCAAATTCTAATCTTCTGTATTCTTCATGTCCCTTTTTTCCTCTTTCCAAATTTATTTCACTGGATTATACTCTTTAAATAACATCTCCAAACCCTAATCTTACCGATTACTGCTTATACTCTTGCTACCTCTACCACTATGGGATTTGAATGGACAACTGCATCTCTGTGCTAATGTGGTGTGGCAACTCGAACTGATGTACGTACGTACGAAGTTCTACGTTGATACTGACTGACTACTGACTGACTGACACTTTAAGATAATAAAGGGAACTATATATGCATGAAATCAACATATTTCCTAGACAAATAATATATATATATATCATTTATTTTGTATATTTAAAGGGATATAATATTAATATAGTAACACGCAGTGACGAGTCACCTAGACTGGTGACCACATTGCAACATAGTCGATAGCATTCGATCTGCACTAAATAAGGATTTGATACACATAAATACTAGAATGTATTCAATAATTCAATGCAACTAGTAACTAAGTACTTTTAAGCATATAGTAATAAAGAAAATAATTATGACCATTTAGCTAAAGTATTAAAGTGTAAAACAAATTTGAAACGATTCAATACTGGTTTCCATAAATGTATACTCACAAAAAAGGTCAAATATAAGTGTTACATCATTAAATGAATCAAATATCAATTTGAAGTGAATATTCTCATTATGACATTTGGTAAATAAAGATGGAACGGATTTTTGTGTGTGTGTGTGTTTTACTTATTGTTTAACATTTGTCTCTTGATTCTTACATAACTACTATGGCAACATAGCAACTATTTGATTTTCGAATAATTACTTTGATCATTATGAATCCACTTTCTTCCAATTACCCAATGTTAATTTATAATCGATATGTCATTATATAATTATTACGTAACGTATCTAGTCGATGAATATTTACCTTGTAGATTACTTTGAACGCAGAGTCTGTCTTGAATGAATGACCTGTGTTCACAAGGTGTTCGATTATAGAACTTCTTATTGAGCCGTTGCCTCCTCTTTTTAGCCACGCCGGACAATGTTCTTGAATTCTTTTGCATAAAGTACGCATCGAACGACCTTATTTAATGTCTTAATGGGTGTATTCCGTTTAATAAAAAATTCCAAGGACCCTTCGATGAGTATTATTTCATTATTGTAAATCATACTCATATGTATACATATTAGTGTAGAACAATGATGAAAAAGTAATTGAAAAGAAATTTCTTCACTCGATTCGTTCCTTCTTTATATATATCAGAAGGGGTTTCGAGGATATTATAGTAATCATAAGAGTTGAATGCATGAGTCAATTAAAGCTAGACTATCATGAAAAACCTGAAAACACTGAATAACCGGTTCGTCTTATTGTGGGACACCTCAGCTATGCGCATTCATGATTCCGCATCGCAAGATTCGAACACAGGACCTATCGATCTCGCGCGCACATGATTCACCACTAAGCAGTCATCCAATGGTGTTAATGTTTAATTTCAACTAATCCACAAAATTGAGTGACACATCCATCATTGTCATCAGTGAGTTACTATCTTACAACTGAACAGATTGAACTTTATTGGTCACTTCTTCTTCTTACTAGAACTCCAGGAGTTCCATGCTACGACTAAACGGCTGTCCAGTGGCTTCCAGGTTTTCTATGGTGGTCTAGCTTCCATTGAATCATGATCTAAACTATTGAAATATATATATGCTTATCAAAACAAAATGAAACGTATTACTTACATAGTTACTATTGTTATTATTAGATAATAAGATAATTGATATTAATTGATGTTAATATGACTGAATGAATAATAATAATATGAGTATTTGTATGGAAACGTTTTGTTGTATAATATTATACTGTGGTGTATATATAAGATATGTATTTCTCTGTTTTAACTTGTGCGAATGATTCAAGTGTTCCAATTGATGATCTACACCAATCTACGTCAATCAATTTTTAATTTATTTAGGATAAAAAACCATCTACATATATATATATATATACATGTGTGTGCGTGTGTGTAAGTTATTTCCATGACCTTCAACATCTTGAACCAATCAAATTAAAGCTTAATCTCTTGGCTACAATATCCACCTACGCGCATAGGAGATAACCAAAAAAAAATTTTTTTTGTTTTGTTTTTACAGTGAATACAAAAACACAGGAGTATTTATGATAGAGAAAAAAAAACCCATATGGATACACTCATCTAACTATCTATCTATCTATCCATCTATCTATATTCATGATTAAAGAAAAAGAAAATATCAAGCAAACCTATAGGGCACTTATTCACACAAATTAGTACAATATTCAAATCAGATAAATGATATTGTAGAAAGTTTTCTTCATAAGTCTTCATGTTATTATTACATTTAACCTTAAATGAAAGAATATTCTGCAATAAAATGTTTCTTATAATTATTATAAATAATAGAATAATAATAATAATAATTACTATAATAAGAGAGGAATGCAGACAGAACATACATTGTTGCCATGAAAAGTACATTCATGCTAAAAATAAACAGTTGATGGAAATATATCACATACACGTACACAATATATATATAGATGTATCGCCTAATAATGTGAATCAACTAAAGTGAAACAATAGAGGTTCTTCTGGAGGTGCCTGAAAAGGAAATTGGATTAGAGGTGGTCTCAGTGACCTGAGAGCGTGACCGCAGTGCCCAAGGGACAACTGCTTGAGATCGGTCACACACGATCTTTTCGTGGGAGGTTTTTGACGTGTTAGCTCCGTTCTTCAAAGGGTCTTACCGCCGGAGACGGAAATCCTTGAGGTAAGGTGAGGTGTGCACTTTTAGGGTCGACCTTTTCTAACCCCAACCCTCCTTGTGGGAAGGCAGTATCGCTGTAGATGCTGGTTGTCTGAAGGAAACACCTTACTGCTGTCACACCTCTGTACAGTCAGCAGTACGACTTCGCCTTCGGACCTTGGGTTTGTTGCTTTTAGTCTTACCGCTCTTCAACTGACCTGTCTGACATGGTAGGACCTTGAGGAACGGTTGTTCCAGCCAGTACAGCTCGGTTGCTTCATCACGATAGGCAAGCCCGACCACCACGTCAAGGTAGCAACAACGGTCGGGAAAGTGAAACAATATAAACCAGTAAATCTAAACTGAGTGGTTTAAAAGCTTGAAGCTTTTTAAAGAGATTTTAAAAAGCTTAAGTTCGACTGCCCTCCAAGTTGTAGATTTCAATGTCTGGACTAACTATTATTTTTCAATTGTGCAAATATTATAACAAACTTTCTTGATTTAGATTTGTTTGAACTAAATAATTATGAATTATAGATGTTATACTAATTCAGTATTATGAAATGATTAAAACATATGATAATTATGAATATTACACATCTAAAGTCAAAATACGCAGATGACCTAGTCCTCCTATCAAATATACACGAAAAAATGCAGATAAAGACAGCTAGTGTAGCAGTAGTCTCTGCATCCGTAGGTCTCAACATAAACAAGGGGAAAACCAAGGTCCTCAAATACAACACAGAGAACAGCGACCCAATCACTCTTAATGGCAAAACTCTGGAAGATGTAGAATCTTTCACATACCTGGGAAGCATCATCGATGAACAAGGAGGATCAGATGCAGGTCTAAAGGCGAGAATCGGCAAATTAAGGGCTGCATTCATACAATTGAAGAACATATGAAACTCAAAATAACTGTCTGTCAACCGACAACAAAGTCAAAATCTTCAATACGAACGTCAAGGCAGTTCTACTGTACGGAGTTGAAACAAGGAGAACTACTACAACCACCATCAAGTAGGTACAATTATTTGTAAATAGTTGTCCATGCAAAATACTCAACATCCATTGGCCGGATACCATCAGTGACAGCCTACAGTGGAAGAGAACAAAAAAGTTTCCAACTGAAGAGGAAATCAAGAAGAGACGTTAGAAGTGGATAGGACATACATTACGTGAACCATCAAACTACATCACGAGGAAAGCGCCAACTTGGGATCCTAAAGGGAAGCGGAAAAGAGGAAGTCCAAAGAATACATTACGTCAGGACATAGAAGCAGATATGAAAAGGATGAAAGAGGTAGAAAGGATTGCCCAGAACAGGGTTGGATGGTGAGTGCTAGTGGGTGGCCTATGCTCCTTCACGAGGAGTAACAGGCGATGTATGGTTGTGTGTGTGTGTGTGTGAATATCAAAATACGTTATTTGTTGGAATAATTTCCTTCTTCTTAACTCTTTACATATAACAACTGACAAATATGTTGCAATTCATACACCGTTTAAAATAAGTGAAAAATATTGAACTATTGAACAAATATTTATTAACTGTTGAATTTGTGAATAATTACAATTTGAATGTATGTTGAAGAGAAATATCCTGCTATATTGTATAACTGATGCAGAGAATTTCTAACTGTAACGAAATTTATAGTGATGACTTTTAAATATTACAAGTTGTAAACAACTGACGAGGACTGACAAAATAAGATGAATTTATGCTATTCTGCTAGAACCTTTGTTCTTGCTGTTTTCAAAATGAAAACATTGTTAGTGATTATTGAAGTATGTGATTGATCTCAAATGGAACAAGACATATCTCCTAGATTTTGATGCTAGTCAGAATCTAAAAAGATTCATCATAAGTTTCCGTCTTATTAAATTTGTATTTATCCACACGGAATTCGGTCTGTTGACGTCGATATTTTCCGTTCACTGCGTCTTTTATCCGGTTCATCAATACTCTGTCGAAAACTTTTCCTGGTACCGATAGTAGTGTGAATTTTCTGTACTTCACACACTCGCTGAGACCTCCTTTCTTTGGTATCTTAATGAGCTGACCTTCCTTCCAGTCTGTCGGTGGCATTTGTTCTTCCTCCAAAATCTTCTTAAACAGGACATGGAGCATCTTTGCAGTTACTTCTATGTCTGACTTCAGTGCTTCAGCTGGTATGTTGTCAGGCCTCGCTGTTTTCCCGCTCTTGATTTGTCTGATGACCATTCTGATTTCGTCCGTCGTTGGTGGAGTGACAGCTATAAGAAAGTCTGTGTGTGTTGCTTCGGTACCCGATAGATTCAATGGGGCTGGTATATTCAGTAGTTCCTCAGAGTGTTCTACACATCTGTTCTGCTGATCTTGAAATTCAGTGAATGTCTTGCATTGTTTTTCGTTGACTAGCCTCTTTGGTTTACTATATTTCTCTACGAGTTTCTTCATTATATCATATGGATATCTCATATTTCCTTTTCTTGCAGCTTTTTTCACTGCCGTTGCTAGATCTTCCACGTATTTCTGCTTGTCGTCTCTAATGCTCCTCTTCATTTGCCTGTTTGCTTCTGAGTACGCAGATTTTACCTTAACTTTCTCTGCTCTTATTCGACTATTTTTAATTGCTGTCTTTTTGTTCTACTTTTCTTTGATCTTGTCCAGTGTTTCTCTAGAGATCCATTCCTTATGATGATGCTTCTTGAGGCTCAGAACCTCTTGACACTTTGAAGTTAATGCTTCTTTGATACCTTTCCAGTTGTCCTCCATAGTTGTTTCTTCTTCCTTCAGTAGATCCTGTAAGGCTTGGAACCTGTCGTTGAGAATTATCGTGAATTCGTTGAATTTGTCAGTATGTCGAAGAAAGGCTGTATTGAACCTTTGTACTCCTATTTTCCCAGCAGTCCAATGTTTCTTCAGCTTCAGTTTCGTTTTGGCAACCATCAGGTAGATGATGATCTGAAGCGATGTCAGCTGCTCTCCTTGTTATTATATCTTCCGTTGATCTTCTAATTTTTTTTAATGTTACAAATATGATTGTTTTTGTGCAATGTAATGTGATGAGAACTGTGTAGTTTTGTGAATGCGTTTGTGTAGGAATGTTATTTTTTTCTACTTTATGTTTATTTGAATGGTAAATGGTTAGTTAATTTACTTTCATTGATTGATTCCTGTCATTATTTTGTCATAAAAATGCTTCTTATGAAGTTCACTTAATATCTATTTAGATCAAATTGACTTATATAAGTTGATGGACAATATAAATTAGTAACTTATTTGTTAAGGTCAATGTTTTCCATTTATTGATATTAAGGATTGACACGTGTCAATAGGTTTCATAAGTGACTTAATGACAAAATTTAAACAATCTACTCAATATACAGATATACCAATTGAGATCATTTATTTGAAGTCTTGAATGTCAACAATAGGGAAGAACAAATCTTTGCAAATAAGATCATACATATTGAACACGTTACGATAAATGTTAAATCAGAATGAGTTTTGTGGAGATTTTAGGAAATTTCACAGGTTGAAATCATGAGTCAGTTGAAGCTAGACCACCATTGAAAACCTGGAAGCACTGGACGGCCGTTTCGTCCTAGTATGGGACTCCTCATACTAGGACGAAACCCAGGACTGCTAAAGAGTCTCAAAATAGGATGAAACGGCCGTTCAATGATTCCAGGTTTTGTATGGTGATCTAGCTTCAACTGACTCATGATTTCAACCTATGAAATGTTAAATCGTTAATTTATCGTAATGAGTTTGTCTGGAACGAATGATTCTGTTTTCTTTAATAAATATACTTTGCAGAATCAGTTTTAATTATCTATTTGTAATGAACAAATATTGAGCTGACCTAAAGATTGGATTCATGAGTAGTAAATGTTTCATTTAAGATGGGAATGATCATAGTAATCGTTAACTGTCATAGCAACTGACAAAAGTTATAAATAAGCAAAAACATTTTAATCATCTAATTACATTCACTAAATGTATTGTTATTATTCATATTACGTAACCTAGGATTATAACCTTTTTTATTACGTCATCTTGGTTATTCTGTATTCACATTTCCTCATAGAATTAGTACTTTAACAAAAGAATTTTTTTCATATCTATATACGATTGTACAGCTTGATAATAAATTCGTTGAAAACAGATCCCTTCACTGAACTTCGTGTTTTTAAT